CAACAACCACCTTTGGATGATAAGTAGGCTAGCACTCATTGTGCCAACTTGATAGAGAGAAATCGTTAAGGTTGCACGTTAACTTCATATATCGATTACCACTGCGTAGGTTAAGCTAGCTATCTAAGATAAACACAACAAAAATAATACCCCTCGAGCCTAGTGTTAAGTTTGTGGTCTTTTTCTAGATCAAGGCTAAGATAAGAGTCTACAAATAGATAAGAGCCTACAAATAGGTTGGTTTCATAGTATATTTGTATATTCACCCCTTTTCCTTTTTTACGTTTAGGTCTCACAAGCTGTTGGTTGAGGTGGAGTAGCGTCTAAGAGTTGTACAGTCACGGAGGGGGTCGTTCTAGAGCATCAGTTCATTTTTGTATTTGAGTCTTTCATTTTTTTTTTCTACGGTAAACTATATCCCCAACCAATTTTTCCATGTTTCTTTTTGGATATAACTTTTTATTTAATTTTAGTGTTAGCTTGTATTTATTTCAATTAAAGTTTTATCAAAATTTTATCTTTTATTTTATTTTACTTTTTTTTATTTTTTTTTTTCCTTTTGTCTTCGTCTTTTGTGTAGGGTCCAACATTCGAAGCCTCGAAAATCGGATCATGACATCAAAAAAGACCGTGAAGCTACAATATATCAAGTGAAACTTTTAATAAGATATAATGAAAGTTGTAGGATTTTTTTTTTTGTTTCTTGTTAAAATTATATTACCTATGTGTGTTGAGTAACTATTTTCAATTTTATTATTCTCTTGTTAAGAAACATTAGCCCATTGTCCATAATTAAAAAAAAAAAAAAAAAAAAAAATCATTGTTTTTTTTAACTTTAATTTATAAACCATATTAAAATTTTGAAAATAGACATTTTATGAAAATTCGATTGATAAGTTGAGATATAATGAAAATTTTGGGCTGGTTTAATCTCCCAAAATATTAGAATAAAAATGGGTAGTCTAAAAAATGTTGAGAAGTGGGGGTTGGCCTCCACTACAAAAGGGAGATCCCTCACTCCATTTTAGCATCCCACGTGAACGGTCAAGCTAGTCGGATATTACACTTTCTGACTGCTCAAGGCTAACATTTAGCCTGATTTGGCTTCTGTCTGATACGTTCGAACCATTTTCTCCTAATTTCAATTTTTCAGAAGCGTTTAAAGTTAGTGTAACTACCTTTTACCTAATTTAAATTTTTAGAGTTAAATGTGAAGTATTTATGCATAGTAAAACTTAGTCCGTTCAAATTATTATAAGTAAATTTAAATTATTTTATATAAAATTAGGCTTAATAGTAGAAGTAAATTTAAATTACTTTAAGAAAAATTAGGAGTAAAATTAAATTATTTTAGGCTTAACTAGTTGAGTTAG